CCCCGTGATTTCTAGTTATATCCCTTGCAGAGCCCACTCGAGATCCCACCTGAGGGTGAACCTGCAGAGCCCACCATAGACTCTCTATGGTGGGCTCTGCGGGGTCACCCTCACGTGGGCTGGTCGCACTCCTTACCTGTCCGCCTCCTCTTCGTCCACGGTCGCTGGTGGGCCCCACCTCCAGGTCCGCCTCCTTCTTCATCACCAGGCCCGCCTCCTTCTTCGTCACCGGGTCCGCCTCCTTCTTCGTCACCGGGCCCCGCCTCCTTTCCTGCTGCCGACCACGGGCCCTGCCTCCTCCTCCACTGACGGCTCTCATTGACTCTGTGGAGAGGAACACGCTGCGGCACAGATTACTGTGATCTGAACAGCGGCATGTTCATCTTCAGCCGCCAGTGAAAGCCACCAGCAGAGGATCCCATAGCGACCCAGGCGGCCCGCACGGCATATGGCCGGGCCCCACTGTGCCCCTGGGTTGCTATGGTGATTGTTACACCACAGTGATTAGGCTGAGGTGGGATAGGCTAAAGTCCCTATACCAGCTTTCCCTATTAAAAGTATCTTTGTGGGGGCCACAAACATTTTATCTATCGTCAAAACTTTGTTTTTAGATACAGAGTAGAGAAGGGTTAGAATTCCGGTCAGGTTTTTGTTATTATTATTAATAATTATTATTATTGTTATTTATTTAAGTTTTATTAATTTAAACAAATAAACAGAACATATTACATTTGTTTCATCAGGAGTAAGTTAGCGTTTGAATTCCATTTCCCATTTGCTCATATAGATCAGGGGGGTAATAATTAAGTCGAATTATTGTTTTATAAAAGTACGAAAGACAATGGGAGGGAACAGTCGTAGCACCTAATAGAGATTCGAATGGTGTAAATTCCTTCGGTGTTCTTTAAAGGTTTCGGTAGTGAATGGATAAAATGAGACAGCTGGTAATATTTCCAGTAGTCTAGACCATTTGTCCTTGGTCATTAAGTTGCGACCCAAGTCGCACTGCAATGGAACGCACAACATTAGGGTATTGCATGTTTTGGTGCGGGCATACGAACTGTGGGTGGGAGATGCGTTTGGGGTACCATACAAATGAATAGTCACTCTGGTCCAGGCATCTCTATAGAACACGTGAGGGAGCTGTAAGCAATGCACGTATGGATGGAGCTCCCTCGCGGCCATAGCCCCAGCCCACCCCACCTCAAGCTGACACTCGGCACCGGGCAGCATATTTTGAATGGCTGCTTGGCACGAGAACTGACAGTGCTGCACTAGAGGAAGGCTGAGGAGCCTCTCGCTTAGAAAAGTGGAAGGCATGCGGCGAACCACTGAACACTGGGTCACGACCCACTTTTGGGTCACGATCCACCAGTTGAGAACCAAGGTTCTAGAGGGAATGAGCCCCGTAAGGTAGACAGGGGGAGGAGTGAGGAACCTTCTAATACATCACATCGTTTAAACTTAGAGGAGGTTAACCAATTAGAAAAGGACGGGTGGTGTTTGCCTGAAGGGAAACAAATCAGACCCTGTTAGAGGTATATATAAATATTATTTGCCTTTAGTAAATTAGCCTCAATAAACACCTTTAGTCCAGGAATACATGTAATGTGTACAGTGCACGAGTCAGGACTATGTAACGTACAGCACAGTGTACAGAGCCCCGTACATTGCTTCAACGCCAAATACCATTGTTAGTCTCTTTGGGAAAAAATTATCCCTATTGGTGGGGTGAGTGTGAGCAAACATAAGCCAGATAATTGGTGTCAGTGGGAGTAGTAAATCCTAACGTTGGTGCCTGTAGAGGAAAAAATGCACCCCATTGTCTGTGTCAGTGGGAGCAAAATGCACCCCATTGTTGGTGTCAGTGGGAGCAAAATGCACCCCATTGTCTGTGTCAGTGGGAGCAAAATGCACCCCATCCTTGGTGTCAGTGGGAGCAAAATGCACCCCATCCTTGGTGTCAGTGGGAGCAAAATGAACCCCATTGTTGGTGTCAGTGGGAGCAAAATGCACCCCATCCTTGGTGTCAGTGGGAGCAAAATGCACCCCATTGTTGGTGTCAGTGGGAGCAAAATGCACCCCATTGTTGGTGTCAGTGGGAGCAAAATGCACCCCATTGTTAAGGTCAGTTTGAACAAAATTCACCCCATCGTTGATGTCAGTGAAAGTAAAACGCATCCCATGGTTGGGGTAGTGGGAGCAGAATACACCCCATCTCCCGACTCCCTCTTTTAATCTCCACTCCTGATATCTTAGAGCTGCCCCCAGGACATGCAT